TCGGAGGAGGCGGGGGGAGGCAGGGGGTGGCTCCCACCCCTTCCCGGGCTCCCTACGCCCAGCTAGCTCAGCGCGACCCCCAAACCAACTTGAGACTGTACTATTGCTCTACCAGTCGCGGAAGAACTTTCGTCAAACCTGTCTCTAGACCCAGTTTGACCGAAAGGGTTGTTCCCAAACACTCACAGGATACCGAGGTTAATCGCCACCCTGGGCGGCGCCTTTTCCTGATTGGCTCTGAGGAACCATGGCCAACTCATCACTTCCGGCGGAAAAGGACGCGGGAGATTCGATTGGAGGGCGTTTGGTGTGCAGCAGAGATCAGCTGGCCTGCGTCTCCGAGCGTTGCCCGGGCAGGGTCCCCGGCCTCTGCCTCAGGTGAGGAGCTGTGGGAAGCGGTTCTCCGGGAGGGCAAGGGCCAGAGTCTCCTAACGAAGTCCTTAACGGCATTGTGAGTGAGACTCAGAGCATTTTTTATGATTTTTTCAGTAGTCAGCCTCTTCCATAAAAGGGCGGTCATGAGGTAGGGAGGGAAAAGGTCAATCATTTTAATTTTAGACAGTGCTGTTGCCATCGTTCTGCGAGCGTTTATTGAGCATTTACCGTGTCATCGAGCTAGACACGGATGGAACTGGAAATACAGAAAGGAAAAGATGTGCTACTCCAGCTTCAGAGGTGCTCAGAGATGCACATTCAGCTGGCTGCTCTGCCGAAAGTAATACGTGATGAGAAGTAGTCTTTTCCAAACTGAGCTTTGATGGCCCAGAGGGAAAAGTGATTAACTGAGCGGTGTGCTCAAACCAGAAACTTGAAAGTTTTCTAGATTCCTTCCTTTTCTCTCACATCTAGCCAGTCATACCGTACTTTTGCTGTCATTACTTTGGTTCAGCACCCTGACTGCTTCATATCTCTGACTGTAGCTTCCCAGCTGGTTCTCCCACTTTCATTCTTGCTACTTTCCAAGCCAGTCTCCACATTGCCAAGGCTGATAAAGCTCAAATCTGGTCAGGGCACTCACTCCCCATTTAAAACCTTTCAGTCGCTGTTATTTTCCCTCAGATTTAAGTCTAAACTCCTTAACATGGTTTACATGGCCCTTGTCTGGCCTTTGCCTACCTCTCTTGCTTTGTTATTCACCACTCTAGCCTTAGGCTCTGGCCATACAGAGTGTCTTTTTGAATTCCTCAAATGCTGTATCCTCCTTCACCTCCAGACCTCTTCTAACCCTGTCCCCAACCTGGCTAATTTTTACTAATTCCTTTGGTCTCATTTTACGAAGACTTTTCAGTCAAGAAATCTTTCCTGACCCTGGAATATTGGGTCACAAAGCACCCAGTAGTTATTCATTCTGCAGATAATTTTAAGTGCTTCCCTCCTCTGTGCCAAGAACTGCTAGGTACTGAGATTATAGTTGTTAACAGATTCCTGTCCTAATGGAACTTAAACCTTTTATGACAGACTTAAGAAGAATAACAGGGGAACCTATTTGAATTAGGTTAGTCTGGCAAGGCCTCTCTAAAAAGTAGACACTTAAATTGAGACCTAAGAGACTAGAATGATCCAGCCTTGAAACAAAGAGTGAATGGGTTTTGCAGAGGCCCTGAGGCAGGAGAGAGCTTGGCATCTTAGTTTCAAGAACCTAAGAAAAGACCAATGTTGCTGGAATATATTCAGAAAAGATCGTTGTATGATATGAGTCTAGAGAGATGGGCAAGGACCAGATCACTTAGTTATGAGGCTAATGCAGGAACATAAGCAGATGATGGTGGTTTGGATTAAGGTAATGGCGGAATATAGGGGAGTAAAAGTGAATGATGGTTTTTAGATATGGAAATAACAAGGGCATTTACCGATGTATGTAATGTGGGAATTGAGGGAAACAGGAATGAAGGATGACTCCTAGCTATCTGGGCTGAGTTACTGGTTGGAGAGTAGTGCCATTTACTGAAATGGAGAAAATTGTAAGTAAAGAGGTTTCAGAGGAAATTAAATTTACCTATTAAACCTTGAAATGCCTATAAGACATCCAAATACAGTTGGCTCTCAGGTATGCAGGTAAGATATGGAAATCTGGACCTTGCAAATATAATGTGTACCTTTGTGTCACTTCATTGGCAATTATACATTGTCTTAGCCAATAGATTATAAATTCCTTGAACACAAGAGCCATTTTTGTCTCTCTGTAATCCTATCCCCTTCCCTAGACTAGAACTTTAGCTATCATAAATGCAGTGGACAAACTGTATTTTATACTCACCAAGATTTTCCTGGATAATGTTTTAAAAATATTTTTCACCAATATTACTCCAAACAAGAGAGGTTTTGTCTCTTTATTTTTCATTTATTTAATTTCTATCTCCTGCCTGCCTCTCTTTTTCTTTTTCTGGAATTTTCTCAGGACTTGTTATGACTGCCTTTAGAAAAACTAGACAAAGTATTTGCCCTTGAAGAAGACCAGTAGATAATTTTAAGAAAACAACTCAAAATAGCCACTCTTCCCATAGCTGAGTCCTCTTGGCATGGAAAATATGAAACAGAAAATCTGAGAGCAGCAAGGTGACAGAGATTTTCTTGCAAAGCAAGACCAGTTTGGGGAGGAATGAAAGAAGGAAGAAAAGTTAGTCATATCTCTGTTTCCATCTGTTATTAGAACTGGGGACTAGTTTTTTAAAGGAATGATTTCATCTTTTGCCCACAGTCTTGAAACAAATACAAATAGTTTTAAGTGTGAAGCTTAACCATACAATGTAATGGACTAGAAAGACTGGTGACACCTACTCATCAGAAGACATGAATTCCAAACCTAATTCTGCCTGCTTCTTAAACTTTAGTTATTTCATTTCTTTGAGAGGATCAGGTAATGATGTAAAAGCACTTTGAGAACCATAAAGCATTCAAAAGAACTTATGAGCCCAACTGGATTATAAACTTTGTTAAAATAGGATCTTATACTTCTGTGTCTTCTGTTCATTACCCACACCATATGCCAATTCACATAAATACTTAATTAAATTTTTCTCCATGATCAAACAGTTAACAAGAATTGTTCTAGATTTTCTAGTCTAGCCCAATCCCACATTTTCTAATTAGCCCAAAGGAGAAAAAGAAGTATGTCGGTGTGTGTCCATATCTGGGCAGGGTTTCTCAGACTATTAAGGTACCTCCTAAGAACTTGGTAATGACAGATATAAGCTGAAAAGTCACCGGATATTAGAGCGAAGAATTACAAAGTCATCTGAAAGAGACTTAAATGCTCACAGGCTTTATGATTTAATTGTAACCATGTTAATCATAAGTGTTGTTCATCAGACAGCCCCAATGGCTAGGTTTTTAAGTGTGGGCAACATAAGACATACCAGGGAACAGGCAAATTCTTTGACCCTCATCCACTGGGGCACAGAAGTCAGTGTTTTATCAAGCCCTCCAGGTGTTGTTGATGCACACTAAAGTTTGAGAATCACTTGGCTAGTATGAAAATGGGATGCAGGGCAGCAATCAATGAGATATATCTGGACCCACTGACAAAATAATCTCTAGTGTGAAGAGGATGCATCAGCTATATCATTAGCCTGATTCCATTAAATTTTTGACTCACCTAACACCCCTTCTTCACGAAACTTTGTTTATAATTTGGCTTAACATGTAGGTATACCCAAAAGAAAATATAGGCTTAAGATGTATCCCTTCCTTGTGATGGTAAAATAGTAAAGCATCTTTGATTATAGTTTAGCTCCCCATATGGCTTGGCTAGAAAGAGAGAAAGCAAATATTCCATGGTATTTAGTGTTAAATTAAAAATGCACTACAGTGTGTCCACCTAGACCCCACATAAGTATAAGTCTATCAGAGTCTTCTTTCCTGGACATTTACTTAGGCAATCTCTTGAGCCTTCAAAACAAAAGCTAACTGAGGCCCTAATTAGTTCCCATCAACCTACCCTAACATTTGCTCTTTTTCCCTCTGTTTCCATCTCAACTTGTTTCTACTTTTATGTGTGAGAGATTGAGAGGATCTACGTTTTCTTGGTATATTATTGCTAAGTCCCCAGCTAGTATTTCTACTACATGTAAAATTTTTTTCTAATTATAAATGTAATTTTTTAAGAAAATATTTTAAATATGTAAGGAAATAAAAAATTACCTTTAACAACTCTGAGAGAAAATACTTTTCAAGGAAATGTTGTACATTTTCCTAACTATCCTTCTCTTTCGCCATTCCCCCAAGCTAATACTACATCAATCCCCTTGTTATATTTTCTCATGATATTATGTTCATTTCTTTTATAGAATTTGCAACAGTTTCAGTTAAACTTTGTGTGATTATTGGTTTAATATCTTTCTCTTGCATTAGCCTGTGAGTCTCCTGACCAAGAGGACTTCGTTTATTTTGTCCATTATCACTAACACCTGATATTTAGCAGCTGCACAATAAATACCTAGTAAATAAATATATTGAGCTTATTAAATTGGAGTATGGTTAGCTGTCTGCTATGGGACTGAAAGAAATGTAATTGTTCCCAAAGCTGTCATCATGTTTTCCTAACTTTAGTATTTACTCATTCCTGATGCTTCATTCAGTTATCCATCAAACATAGATTCACTGTACTACATACAAGTCAAGCAGTAGAGAGAGAGATGACCAGTATCATAAAGGAAATATTATGGAAACAGTAAAAGGAATAACTAACGGTAATTGTTTAAAAGAATTATTGCATTTTTTTGTCCATCAGACAATGAATGGGAAGTCTTTTTGCAATTTGCTGAGGTTTACCAGGAGAAACACAAATAGTAAAAATAGTTTATGACCTTTTTCGTTTCGGTTCTCAAATTTGCCATTTAGTTTTCTAGACATACTTATCTGATCCACTAGAGGGCAATAAACCCTTAAATAAGACAATATAACAAAACTTCCTTTAAAAATATAACAATTAGTGCTTGTGCAATTAATTTAGAAATGAATCCCCAAATATTTCTGCTTATATGTTTATCATTTATTGGTAAATTGTCTGCCCAATTATACAGTAAACATTTTAGGACAGGAAGTATCTTATTTCTAAAATATCCCCCACAACACTTAGTATAGTCTCCTAATCATCTTACAGGTTTAATCCATTTCTTTAAGTTTGAATTTGATAGCAATTATAAAGAATATGATTGGTGAATGCTGATATAGTTGTGGTAAAATATAAAATTTTATTTTAGAGCCCTAAAGAAGATAATCTCTGCAAATATGACCACAATTAAGAAAATAAAAAATTGGAAATGAGGATAAAATGTAAATAATGATTAAAATAAGTTTTAAATAAATGTATTTAAATATTTAATATTTAAATATTAAATATTTAAAACTTATTGAAAGTTTTAAATACTATATATGAAACTACTCTGTGCACTCTATACACATTTAAAATTATTTTGTGATCTGGTAAAACTGTGTTTTATATTTAATGGTACATTGCAGAACTGACTTAAAAAGACGATAGCTGAAAATGAGGAAGAAAGTTAATAGCTAAAGTTCAGATCAATTTTTTTTTAACTTTGCACTGGGGATATAAACAGATGGTCCTTCTAAGATCCTACTCTAGTTTCAGAAAAACACATTAAACAAATAAGTTTACTATAATGTGGCAAGTAATAAATTAAAAAGTAGAGTCACATAACTTAACCTTGGAAAGCTTCCTGGAGAAGAAGACCCCTGAGAAGAATCTTAAGAGTAAGGA